CTCCGAGACCCACCATATGAGAATGAAACCTCTCCAACTGGAGATGAAATCGAAAAGGTATAGTTGAGCACTCGGACTCCCCGAGACTCGAAGCACACAATCTCTGGTTGGTGTTTTCAACCCACGCAAAAAATATGAGTCAGAGGTCCAATAATCATCCCTAAGTAAGGGTGGAAAAAGAAACATCGAAACATTCCGAAACCATCACCTAGAATCCGGTCCAACTTTTTATGACTGTGTTTCTCTCGCTGTTGCCGGCCACATCGCGCCTGCACCATACACGAAGATCAGCTCACAGAAAGGCGCCAATTCACAAACGAATCGGATCCGGTGGATTCGGATTTCAGGTGGGCGCGAAGCCTGGAGTCCAGCACCCAGTTCGGATGGTTCTTGGAAAACACATGGTGAGGGGGGCAAGAAACACCACCCGAACTGGGTGGTGCTGGATTCAGACCTTTTGCGCCTTTTGGGTTGTTGTCTCAGACCTTCTGGGGTTCCTGGTATACTGACTTCATTGAGTTCTGCCCTTGACAATTTAGTCCATGTCGAAACAGTCTGGAGGTTGGTGCCATCAGCCTGAACTATGGGTCAGACATTTGTTCAGTTCATTATGTTAATGGATCATTAGCATTCTTTATGCCAGAAGCCTGAGCTTTCTGCTCAAGAAGAAGCTCTTTCATTTAGTGACTCTGCCCTTAATTAGTTGTTGAAATGGTTTTGCTCAGACCATGCCAACCTTTCATGAAAAAGTGAGGCGCGACCGACCTCGGCGCGTCGAAAAATCTCGTCTAGAACACCCAACACCTGCAATATCTAACGAGCCAGAAGCTAGGATGGACGGTCCTATGTAAGGGTCTAGGTGAAGTAGGTGAAGTTTCCCCCACGTTGCACTGATGTCCGCAAATCTGGGAACCCCCCGAAGGAGGGGGTGCTTCGTTTGGCCGGAGGAGGTCCACTGAGAGGAGAGCTCTCTTTTGTTCTCTGAAATCTGCTCCCCCACTCCTACATGCTTGCTCCATAACTCAGTCATGCGTACTTGACCGTCAAGGCTTGAGCCCAAACCGATGCGAACATCTTGCGTGTAAAGAAATAAAACTCATGGCCGTGGAGGATTCGCTGGATTCACTCGCAAAGGGTTGGCGAAAGTAGTTCGCTACCGCAAAAGAAGATGCTGCTTGGGAAGGCAACTAGGAAACGTTTGTTTCACACGGATGGCCTTGGCCACCAGCGGCCACGATGCTGTGTGGACAACCCTGAGTGAGTCCAAATGGTGCTTTGAGATCTCCAAAAGTGAGGATGCGATACCCAAACCTAACCAACACACATTGACCGTAGCATAGTGTAAAGAATAACGGATCTCCACTTCGTCCGGCTCGGCACTCGATCCCCCAGGGGCCGTGACACAACAACTTGGGCTCGGCCAATGACACCGACCTGCTGTGCTGTCGGGACGAAAATCTACTGCCAGGGAAGATGTTTCTTGCCAGGATGTTCCTGTTTAGAACAACTCTACACAATTTTGACTAAGTTCCTGCAATCACTGAGTGACTCTTATTAAGAGAATTTCTACACAATGGTATTCACTTCTTGCCTTGATGTTCCTTTAAACCCAATGGGATTCTGGATGGCCATTCCACGAACCTTATGGGATCCTTCAGCCTGCTTCGAGCCTGGAGGCTGCCAGCTCGGTGGAAAAAACAACTGATCGCCGGGGCCCAAAACCTCCTAGTACCGCCCTTGTTCCTATAGTAGTAAGGCCAGGAGCCCCTAGTAGCGTCCTTGCTCCGTTTGTAGCGATGCCCTTTGCTCCTAGCAGAGTCCTCTACCCCCGGTTCACCTCTTCAGCAAAAGGTCATAGCCCACCACTCCGAACCTCAATCGGTCGAATTGCTGCTTGGGTCAGCCGAATCTGCACACCGCCCAATCAGCGGAATTCCCAAACTCTTCCGCTGGGTCGGTCGTCTTTAGTATATAGCAGCAAAGAAGCGGACGATGCCAAAAAAAGGACCCAAAATAACATGTGGACACATGTGGAAGTTAGCCAGGTGGTACAAAAAAGCTTGGGGTGCCAAGGGGCGCGTACACCTTTTCTATCCTTTTCTTATCTTCTCTCCTCACCCCGAGCTTGTCTGGTCTGACAATCGGAGTTCAACAACAAAACACAACATGCTCCTCACCACATACAAAAGCTCGGTGATTGCGGGCATCACGACTCCGGGCCGCAGGCTGAAAGACCTTGATGCCCACACCCAAATGCTTGGCCACCTGGCGTTCAGATCATGAGATCCTTCCGGCACAGTTTTGGTCTGGGAAGCACCAGTATTGAAGAAACACAAATGATTTTAAGGACACCATGCTGAAAGCTTTAAAGCAAGAGAGAAAGAGAGAGAGAGAGAGAGACAGACAGGACCAGACAGACAGGACCAGACAGACAGGACCAGACA